CATGAGCCCCACGTGGGCGCGTCTGCACCCTTTTCCTCTGGCCCTCAAGTTTCTTTTGTAAACGACCAATCTGTTTGACGGCGTCGCAATGGCGACGACCCATATCGGCTATCCTTTCGACGGTCTGCAAAATAAGAATTTAAAACCACAACTTCAACAATATTTGGATAAAGGGAGACAAAGTTCGAATATGTACCAAAAGTGCCGATTGGGCGGCTAATGCTGTCGCATTCAGATCTAGTTCCACCCGGAAAGCCTTCCTGTCAGACGGCAACGACATAGACGTAGCCAAGCTGAATGCAACTTCTGGATCTTTAAGCACCGAAGCATCATAAGAAACCGGCATGTTTTTTATCGTCAACTGAATGACAAAAGGAATGATCACATTCGATCCCTCTAATTGAGGACGTTTGCCGCTTTGTTCTTCTAAGCCGGCCTCAAATTCGGCAGGGTGTTTCGCTGCTTCTTCCTCAACTTCTTGGCCGTCTTGCACGACCAAAGTAGATTCGGCATTCTGAATTTTTGCCGTCTCCACCTCAATAACGCACAAGGACTCTGATTCGCTAACAGGCAGGGAGAGTTGAGATCTGGTGGCGGGTGGTACTTCAGACGGAAGGGCCTCCACTCTTCGCCGTGCGGCCAACCTTTCCGCATTCGCCTTCCTAGCAAGTTTCATCAGGCTTAACCCGGCCATGTCTTCAGGGCCTACGACGTGAAGATCCTCTAAGCCGTGAGAAACGTCGTCAAGTGAAAGATCCCCTCAGCCCAAAGTGGATGGAGGATCATCCGAATTCAATACCTCATCAGACTCGGTTTCGTACTGATCTGATTCGGTAACATTAGCTACATCCCGCTCCGAATCAGACCCTTCAAAACCAACTTGCCTTAAGTTTTTTAAGTTGGACAAAATAAGATCGATAAGAGAATCTTCATCCTCTGGAACCGGGATATTTTTCGCCACCGAGAAGGTCGTATATGTCGACTCGTAACGAAGCAGAACATGGGCCGTCCTCCCTTGTTTCTAAAGACTTCGACGGTCGAAATACTTGAGCACGACTTTGATATCCGAAAGAACGGCGTCGTCAGTCGAAGACAGGACTTTCTTCAAGTCGTTCCCTGCACAAGCCAAGCCGTAACATTTCAAAGAAGAGGCTTTACAACAAAAATGAACAAATAATAAAAGCGTAAAGGCAATCGGCCACCTGGCTCGCCCCTCCGTCTAGGAATAGCGTTGACGTGATCCTCCCCTTCGCCAAATTCTCAATTACCCTGGACAACAACCATAACATCATCAACTCGTTTCCCAGAACTGGAAAGCATAGTAATTAGCTGATGGTCAATATCCTTGGCTCTAAGGAAGAAAGGCCCGTGCCGACCAGAAGACTTAGCCAAGGCATAGCAATGCCGGATGGTTGCAATGCCAAGGTTAATTCTAAGGCGATGGTTGAGCGCTATAACCCCCATTATAATTCTAAAGAAATTCACATTGAATTGGGAAGGGATTAAACCCCAATGGCGAAGCACAGCCCTAAGAAACGGGTGAAGGGGAAAACGGACTCCACCCTCTGCGATTGACAAAAGAGGAATGACAATCGAGGTTTTGTCCTCCCTCTCCATATCAAGAGTGTCATCTGCCACAAACGACAGACGGACATCATCAGGAATGGAGAAATGACGTTTAAAGCCAACAATTCGATACGACGAGAGAAGGTCTTTTAAATGTTTCGCCATACCATACAGTTTATAAGAATATGCCAAGGAAGGAATAAACTAGAAAGAGTCTTCGAAACAAGGAAGAAGAGAACTTACAAAAGACGAAGAGGATATCGGAGAAGAGAGATGCATGGACGATTCAAAAGGCAATTCAGCGATGAGCGTCATAAAATACATACTCGAAAGGACGTCAGAATTTTAAACCGCAATAAATAGACACGTACGAGAGGGCGGGAAGTCGGCACGACAACCGAAAGGGGTGCGCTTAGATATCCGCATGAGGATGAGGCCAACCGCTGAATTTTGGCTCTGGCTTTTCGAAATTCAGAACCAAGCACTCCAGCCAACTGTCGTTGGTAAAGTGCTTGGGGGGCAATTGTGGGATCCGAATAAATAAAAGAGTCGGAAGGTGTGTACCCCAGAAATCAAATATTATTCGGCTCTATATTGCGTGACTAGGATGCCGAATACGTTAGGAAGGCCGAATAGCCGGAGATCAGTAGCTCCGAATAAATAAAAGGGGAATTGGATAAAAGTAGGCTCAGATCCCAAGGCCCAAAAAGCAAGTATAAATACAAGAACCACAGATTTAGAAAGGTATGTAAGAATCACTTCACTTAACTTAGTAAAGAAGCTATCCTGAGTGTCTGAACTGACTTGTCCGTCGGAGTGCTAATTTCGGCACCCCCGACCAGAGTGTTTGTATCTTTTCAGGTGACTAGCTGAGGATCACTAGTGTCTCTCAGGATCTGAAGAGTATTTCCAAACCACCTCCCTACACTATCAATCACTCAACAACAATTAATTTCTTAATAAAACTATGCACACAAATGCAAAACATATAACAAAACAACAAGAAGTCTCACTCGGTATTTTTGTAACTATACACCTAACACTACGTGTGGGTGTTATTTTTAACCTGACGACCAAACAAGGAACTTAGTTGGAGAGCATGCGGCAGAATATATTAAGCCAGCACCTGTGGACAAGAAGACAAAAAAATACCGCGGTGGCTTATCCACCCAGGGGCACTCCGACGACTAAGTCAGTCAACTTATCTCTCAAAGATATCAAACAAGTACTCACTTCACAATCAAAAGCACACCTTAGACCCACGAGGGTGCCTTACTTTTATAATGACCAGTGTCCAACTTTTCCTATAAGTCTTACTTCATGGGACTCTATCATTTACAAGGATAACATCTATCACAACACACATTATTCAAATTAAGATGAACTTCCTCATAAGTCTCATCTCTAGCCAAAGAGGTATCTAGATATCATCTAGGATTCTTATCTTCTATCCGAATATCTCAGATTCCGACATTACCGCACCATATCTCGGTAATATCACAGCAACCTCGGCACCATGGCTCACCCACGTGGCACCTTAGCCAACACCTCGACCACATGGTGACCCTAAATATATGTCTCCACAACTGCCCCTAGGTTCTATTATGTTGGCAACCTGAGGTGATGGAACCTATATCATCTGATCTTCTCACATGTCAGTTGAACAACATGCTATAGATACTCCTCCGACCAAAGTCATGACTCGTTGGCGTCAAGAAAAAAGGACTCAACTGTCCACTCATCAAGAATCAAGAACCAACATGGTCTTTCATCCAAGATCAACATCTCAACCGAGATCGTACTATAAGCCGAGATCGTGACTCGCTAGTTCGAGAATTCCAAGAACCCAAGACGCGTGTGAGCTGTTACGTCATAACTATCTCAATCGTATTGCCTCTACGTGTCATCACCAGATTGGAGTGTACCAATCACGTCCCCATTGTGTCGCATCAGTTCTGCCCCATGCCGCCTGACGCTAGCACAGGCACATCGCCCAAGGCCTCGAAATCATAACTTTTAGCTACCTTTTTCTAATTCTAACAAAACCTTTTACTTTTCTCATTTCATCTCTATTTATGTCGTAAGACACTCTCTCTCTCTCTCTTGGCCTCTGCAAACCATCATCATTGTTCTTGAAGCTCTCATTGCTATGAATACTTCGTTCGTGCCCAAAGTTCAAACCCTACCAGCTGAACCAGACTAGCAACCAAGCACTTCATCAATTGCTCCATGCATCAACCCACTATCTTAATGGTAGTGCAAACACCAGCATAACGACAATCCTGCTACCAAAACTAGGAGCAAGAAACACCAAGGTCCTAAGCTCCTAGCCTACAACCTTGACAAACCTCCAATCACTTTATCTGTTCTATACTAACGAGTAACCATCGTCGTAACCAATGACAACATGTCTCGCCGACCACTTGTTGTAGAAGACCTTCTTGCTGACATCCCTGATGTCATAATTATGCAATCCACTCCATCTCCTTATAGTCAATCCAACATGCTCATGCCTCTAGCAACTCAACATCTCGGAAGAGAAGCACATGAAGCAAAAGGACCAAGCTACTGCTGCCAAAGCCGAGGCCATTACTAAGGCCGCTGAAAATAAAGGTGTCGAAGTTGAGAAGAAACTAGTAGAGGCACTAACCAGCAAGGAGCAGACGCTAAGGCCTATCAAGATGGCCAAGACTCTATCCGAGATCAATATAAGGAGCAGGTCTACATCTCGGATAAAATCATCATCTTAGATCAAGTCATCTCGGGTCACTACAAGAAATTTCACTTTTGGCTATTAAAATTTTAGTCACAAAAAAGCCTTGTTTTTAGTTGCCAATAACTTTTGCCGACTAATATATTTGGTCGCTCATTTGGTCGCCAATAATTTGTCGAGGAAACGATCGGCGACTAAAATTTTTTTGGTAGCCAAAAGTGGCCTATTGGCAACTAAAACTTTAGTTGCCACATATTTTTTTAAAAATAATTAAATATATGTATTTTTTTTTTTTTTTAGTGACTAAATTATATAGTAGCCAATTGAGCATATATGTTTGGCAACTAATTTTTTGGTAGCCGAAAGTTTCACTTTTTGAGAATTGACAACTAAAAATTTAGTAGCCAAAAGTTTCTTTTTTACAATTGGCGACTAACAGTTTAGTAGCCAAAAGTTTCACTTTTTGAGAATTGGCGACTAAAGCTTTAGCAGCCAAAAGCCAACCTGTGATATTTGTCTAGTCACCAAAGGTCTTATTTAGTTTTTATAATTTGATCTGTAATATTTTTTGCGCCACATGTAACCTGTGCATATACAAAATTATTCATCCATTCGCTCATTCATTCAATTCTCAACCATTCAATAAAAATATTTCTCCACAACCTGTACCATTTAATTTTCAACCACATAAAAATTTAACTATTAACTGTACATATCAAAGAAAATAAGAATCAATAAACATAGTATAATCCAACAAATACATATACTATACAAACAAACAATTAAAATCCAAATTAAAGAAAATCTTAATAACAAAACATATCAGGGTCTACATCTTCTTATCACGTGCTCTTGATGCAGCTTCGGATATGGTAGAAGGGGGTCCCCATCTCATTCTATTGTTAAATTCTTACGTGTAGGTCACCGCATCGAGAATCAATCTAGTCATTCGTCTTGTGAGACTTCTCATAGAATCTGTAAAAATCAGGCAACTCTTCATCGTTCTCATCTACCTGTTAATTTCTCATCTAACAGAATTGTTTTAAGCAAAGAATCCTAATGTGGAAAAAGATTAAGAAGGAATCTAGTGACACAAAGATGAACATAAATTTCGAATAAAAAATGTGAACCAACACCCAAAGTAACAAATGGACACCAAGATGAGCAAAAGTACTCTTATTTCCACTATGAGTGAATGAGACTTGTGCAAATTCCCACTAATCATCAATCCAACAAAACAAATTAAAATCAAGCTCAGTAGAGCCACAATCATCAAGTAACCAAGTATATTAGAAGATTCTGCCATGAAATCATGCTTGCAAAACTTAATGACAAAAAGAAGAAAAAAAGGAGGCATATTCTGAAGCTATATATGTAGAAGAATTATCAACTGCATGACAAAGCCATAGCCTAAAATACTAATAAAAAAGAAACCATAGCCTAAAATGAGTATCTAAAAGCTTGTCATTAGCATAAAGAACTATGAAAAAGTAGGGGAAGATTGATTGTTCTTCAACCAAAGCTGCCAATTCACATCCATAACAAACTTCATCATGAAACTTTATTTCATTTTATAAGAACCTCCCTCTTTAACTAGTGCAGAAGAATGGATATTGTGAAAACTAAAACTGAAGATCCAAAAGTCATATCATCAATTAGTTCTCTGGCAATAGCTAAGTCAACTTGATGTGTTTCAATTGATTATAAGACGCAAAACATTTTATACAACAAAGCATCTCAACAATGGGAATAACACATATCCACGATGCTATGAATGCAAGGGTTCTACACAAATTCTACCCATGCTATACGATATCAGCTAGACACAAAAGTTCTACTTGGAGAAAAATCTTTAACCGTTCTAATGGAGCAACAGCACTACGTGACCTACAACATAAATTATATAGGATAGACTTAGTAAAGAGCTACTAGGTGAAATGAAAAGTTTACTGACTTGCGCAATTTTATCAACAAAACTTATGTATCTATCCTATAGGCAGTAACAATCATTATAACATCATAATCATATAGAGGAAGTACAGTGTGATAATTTTGCCATCAAGTTGAAGATGTAAAGTGAATATAATATTACCATAGGTAACAAGTTGGCCTATTTCTGAAAGCTACAAATGATCCCTTATGTCAGAGAATTTCATATTACTTTGTTGATCTACAGTCTCTATAACTTAACTATTATGACCATTACACATTATGTTTTTGACAGCGAATCATGCGCTTGGGTTTTGATTGGGACTTTACTGACATAAATATTCTGCTACTTGCTAAGTTAGCGAAGCCTTTAAGGGGAATTGCCCAAATAGTCATAAACAACATCCACATCAAGGGTGAAGTTTGTAGTTTTCTTCTCTCATTTTGTTTACCTTTTACATCTAAAATTCTATGTTATCATTCTTCTCTTTTTGATAAATGAATAATTAAAGTCACATCTATGAAATTGAAGAACTGGTAAACGTTCTTTGCCACCACTAGTGTAAATCAGGTAATGTTACAGGCTCAACTCCTCATTCACATAGTGAAAATGGGGGAAATAAAATAAATCAATAAAAGATTTTTTTTTTCTGTTGTTTTTTGGGAAGTGGAAATTGCATCAAAAAAATTTATAAATTAATTAACTAAACTATGCTAGGTGATATTATATTTTGTTCTGTTTATATGTGTGTGTGTGTGTGTGTATTAGTGGTGGACATATGGAAATGTTATTTTAAAGGAACAGGAGTTTAAAAAAAAAAAATCCTTTTACCTAGTTCCAAATACAATATTAGAGTGCATTTTTGGCATGAATGTCTGCCTGATATAGTGAAGAGCATTTATGTAAGCCTTTCTCTAGCTGTAATTTGATATAGCGTTTTCATCTAGGCTCTGTTACATTCAGACACTTGGACATATGACAATTCTAACAGTAGCATTACTCATGGAAACAAGAATATCCCACCACAATTCATTTTGCTCAGATTCTACAATTATGTTATGAGGATTAATAACAACATTCTACAAAATAACAAAATTTTAGCAGATAATCCTAGCAAAAACAAAAATAAATTCGTTCTACAACCAACAATAAAGCATGCAGTCAACTTAATTACTGAACCAATAAACCAGTCCTCGAAACCTCTCTATGACATTTTTGCATACACTTGGTGAGCATAAATCAAAAAGATTAGTTTGCTCAGCAACACAGGAAAACAAACCAACCCATTTTCACAAACACTGGCACATGAGGCATAAATGAGTCACAGATCTCTCTTGCAACACACTGAAAGTTGGATAAATAGGATGCTAACTTAGATGACTTCAATTCTCAAAAAAAAGAACATCCAAAATCTAAGAAACCCAAATTTCTTTCATTGTTTTGGGGATATTTGAACAAGGGTCCCTCGTAATGATAATTGTTTTTGTGAAATTAAAAGAGAGAGAGAGAGAGAGAGAGAGAGACCTTTCACTCGGAGAAAACAGAGTCATGTTTGGTGCATTTATAGTCTTCCCTCTTTACCATGGCGATGGTAGAGGAGAAGGGGTTGCTCCGGTTGCCGACGAACGCAAGGAGGAACGGCGGTGAGAGAGGGATGGGAGAGGAGCAGCTGAGAGAGAGAGGGAGAGAGAGAGGAAGTGAAACGCTGAAAAGAGAGAGAGAGAGAGAGAGAGAGAGAGTTGCTATTTTGATACGGTTTGGGTTGGAAACAAAATACATATATCATTAATAACAATTCGGGACTAAATATTTTAGTCGCTAATTACTTTTTTAATCCCTCCAAATATTCTAGTTTTTAGTGACTAAAATATTCTTTTGTTGCTGAAAATATACTTTTGGCAACCAAACTTTTGGTCGCCAAATATAAAAAATAATTTTTTTTCTTTTCATTCGGCTACTAAAATATTTTTTTGTTGCTGAAAATATACTTTTTGGCGACCAAACATAAAAAATAACTTTTTTTTTTCTTCATTTGGCTACTAAACAATTTTAATAGCCAAAACTAGCTATACGACTTCTAAAATTTTTGTAGTCACCAATTGTGATATTTTTAGCGACTAAATTTTTTTTAGTCAGCAATAATCAATATTCACTGACTAAAAAAAATTAGTAGCTAAATATTTGACTTTTGCCGACTAATATTATTCTTGGTCGCCAATTCCATAACTTTGGCGACTAAATTTTTTTTAGTCTCCAAAAGTGTATTTTGTTGTAGTTGGTATAAGTGTTATCTTAGATACCTTCATTTCACCAAAGTTTTTGAAAATTTCACCAAGCATCACTTTCAAATCACTGACTCAGTCTTCATTAACTCATTTATGCTCTCTGCCCCCTAATGTGAATGTAAATACAACTTAGGTTCACATTAGGAATATCTTATCTAAACATTGTCTAAGTCTGACTTAGACATCCATGACAAGAGTCATCGTGTTTAGCTTGTCTAAACATAATACTTAAGACTTAACCTTAGTGCACCGAAAGTACTACCTACCTCGACTTTTCATACAAACTAGCCAGATCATGGCTAGTTTCGTCTTGTTTCTCATTGAATCATCACTTTAACTTAGTTCAGCTCTGTCTTCCCAACAAGCCTAAGTTAAACGCACAGTTCCTCGTTGGAACATCCCTTAGTTTCAACTCTACCTTTTTGGCAAGCCTAAGTTAACTAGCTCAAGGGTTGTTCCCTACTCAAGGATCACTCCTTCGATTTCATTTCAATGGTCATTCCCTTTGATTTATTCTTAACTTCGGCCGAGGTTAGTGACATCATTAGAGTCGTGCTTGCAAATTTTGTCAAGCCATATTCCAAGGCCTCGACAATCCCTCACCGTCAAGATCTCCTAATCCCGAGTAAGCTTTGTTTTATCTCAACTCTGTTCGCCTCTGGTAAGTTCTGATCTTTACAAAATTGCTCACCTAGGCTGAGCTTTTGTCTTCTCGGACCTACTTATCTAGGCCGAGATCTTGTCTTTTGGATCTGGGATCTACTTACTTAGGCTGAGCTCTTGTCTTCTTAGACCTAATCATCTAGGCTGAGATCTTGTCTTCTGTGATCTGAAATCTGCTCACTTAGGTAAAGCTTTTGTTTTCTTGGACCTACTCATCTAGGCCGAGATCTTGTTTTCTGGTATCTGGGATCTACTCACTTAGGTTGAACTCTTGTTTTCTCGGACATACTCATCTAGGCTGAGATCTTGTCTTATGGTATCTGGGATCTGCACACTTAGGTTGAGTTCTTGTCTTCTTAGACCTACTCATCTAGGCCGAGATCTTGTCTTCTGGGATCTGGGATCTGCTTACTTAGATTGAACTCTTGTCTTTTGGACCTACTCATCTAGGTCGCGATCTTGTTTTTTGGGATATGGAATTTGCTCACCTAGGTTGTTCTCTTTTATATGGGATCTATTTCACCTAGGCCATGCTCTTCTATCTTGGATCTGCTTTACCTAGGCCACCATCTGGGATCTACTCCACCTAGGCCATGCTCTTCCATGTTAGATTCGCTTTACCTAGGCCATGCTCTTCCATCTGGGATCCGCTCCACCTAGGCCATGCTCTTCCATCATGGATTTGCTTAATTTAGGCCATGCTCTTTCATCTTGGATCTGCTTCACCTAAGTCAATGTCTTTTCTACTCGAAGGTTGTCTTCATCTCCTCGGGAGCGCTCATGCGCGCTTATCTTTGCATTCATCTCTTCTAGAGGGGTCTTCATTTCGTCAATGTTGACGCATTCTCCATATTTTCTAAACTCGTCGTTGTCGACCCATTGATCTTGCACGATGATGGCTATCTATTCCTACTAAGTTCCCACAGACAGGGCCAAATTATGGATATTAATTTTTGACCTCAGAACCAAACAAGGAACTTAGCCAGAGAGCACGCGGTAGAATAGATTAAGCCAACACTTGTGCACAAGAAGACAAGAAATATCGCGTTGCTCGTCTACCAGAGGCACTCCGACGATCAAATCAGTCAACTTATCTTTCCAAGATATCAAATAAGTACTCAATTTACAATCAAAAGCATACATTAGACCCACGACGGTGCCTTACTTTTATAATGAGTAGTGTCCAACTTCTCCTATAAGTCTTACTTTATAAGACTTTATCCTTTACAAGGATAACATCTATCATAACTCACATTATTCAGATTAAAATGAACTTCTTCAAGAGTCTCATTTCTATTCAAATAGGTAGCTTGATATCATCTAGGACTCTTGTCCTCTATCCGAATATCTCAGATTCCGACATTACCGCACCATATCTCGACAATATCACAACAACCTCAGCATCATGGCTTGCCCATGTGGCACCTTAGCCAACACCTCGGCCACGTGGCGTGACCTTAAAAATACGTCCCCACATTGCGGTTGATCACCAAAGGAATCAACATTTTCTAGAACTAATCACACCATTGTTTATTACAAAGACCTAATTAATCTAAATTTCTAAGAAGACAATAACACATAGTAGAACTTCAAAAGATAACATAGTTGAATAAATCAAACCATGAATTCTTAAGGAGAGAGTGGTTCCCAACTACCTCATAGAAAATATCATTAAAAAAAAAAAAAGTCCACTACACGGTTGACCCACTTGCCATGTTCATATAGACATATCAGATAGATGGAGATTTCAAGAAGGGAGAGATGTAGTTTCAGTTTTTTAAACAAGTCTAACTCATTGCCTGGTTAAAGCTCAGGAGATTCAGTACATATATGGGAATTTGAACACACTAGTTGCAGGTTAGGTAGGCCTGATTCATCCCATTAATGACCCCTAGATGTAGTTACATTTTCTTCTCCTTCTCTCCCTCTCCTACTCTCTTTTTTAAAATATTTTTTTAATTTTTTACTTTAAGAACTGTACCACTTGCGCTACTATTAAGTCTTAAATGGAAGTAGCAATGTAAATTTATTCTTCAAACATGTTAAAATGTTAGGAAATGCTATGACACATACTTTTAAAATAGTCTATATCATATGTAAATTATGACCATTATGATATTACTTATTACAAATGTTATAACTAAATTTCATTCAATCATAATTGAAAAAAAAAATATAAAATTCAGTCATAAAAGAAAATTATAATCAAACACCATATGAGCTCTTTGTATTTTTTTTTATATTATATATACATATATGAAATAGTAAACAAAATATTAATATTATCGACAAATGAGAATCTTATAGCGTGGATTCATTTAACACAAGCAAATAAAAACTGCATTACCCAAAATATAAAGAATTGTTATTAGAGAAAACTTAGCAATTACACAAGGAGTACATGGAGCTAGGGAAGGCAAAGTCTACAAACCTGCTGGCAAGCATAGGTAGATCCCAGGAAAGTATACATGAATTGTAATATGAAATGTATAATATAGTCTTTAAGAAAACAAAAGGCTACAAACCTGCTGGCAAGCATAGGTAGATCCCAGGAAGGTATACATGAATTGTAATATGAAATGGATAATAAAATCATTAAGAAAACAAAAGGCTACAAACCTGCTGGCAAGCATAGGTAGATCCCAGGAAGGTATACATGGATTGTAATATGAAATGTGTAATATAATCTTTTAAGAATCTTAAATGCGACTGTCAATGAACTTCATCGGGAAAAAAAAAATGTGAAGAATTACTAATAGTATATATGGCCACACAAACCCAAAAACACATGCATGAACTCAGACAGAGAGAGAGAGAGAGAGAGATGGAGAGCAAGCATTTTAGTCACCCTCACAACTTAAGCCTCCATGAAATTCCAGAAGGGGCGAAAATTGATTGCTCTGGTTGTAACTTGCCAAGCTCAGGTCTAGTTTATGTCTGCAGGCAATGCAATTACTTCCTCCATGAACAATGCTTTCGTGCAAGTCGCTCCATCCAACACCCATCCCATCCACTTCATCCTTTAACCCTCATACCATATCCAACTTACACCTCTGGATCCTTCTTGTGCGATTCCTGCCGTCAAACTGGATCTGGGTTTTCTTTCAGCTGCTTCAATTGTGATTTTGACCTCCACGTCCATTGTGCTTGTATTTCTCAAAATACAAGCACAATGGACACTGAGTCACAAACAGAGGTGAGAGGGTCTAACCTGATTGAACACATGTCCCATGCCAACCACTTCCTCACACTTCTATCTAAGTCACTCTACGTCAATGGTGAGTTCATTTGTAATGCTTGTGGCGAATATGGGAGGGACACAGAATACAATTGCTCCACATGTAATTTTGATCTCCACGTTGAATGTGCTTCCTTGAAAGAAAATGTGAATCGCGAAGATCACGAACACCATCTCACTCAGTACTATTTTCGTTTCCAAGTCCATATGATAGCGAGGATATTAACTTTGAGTGCGATGTTTGTCATCGCAATGTTTCGAAGGACTGTTGGTTTTATTGCTGTGTAGATTGTGATTATGGAACTCATGTGAAGTGTGTATTGGCTAAGGAACGATCGAAACAAGAAGTGGAACTTGAAAGATTCATTGAGACTCAACAAGAACTGTCGAAACTTCAATTTCAAATGCAAATTAACAGAGTAACGGCACAACTTATATCCTCATCAATTTCAAACTTATATCCTCGCTAGAAGCTTTGCTCATTTTCATATTGGGAAATGGTGATCAAAAGCATAGTCACCCATGGGAGCCTAATGTTCTGCTTCCTGCAATATAAATTCGTACAATTTAAGTCTAGTTTCAAGGTAATCATTTCCTTTAAATTGAAGGTTAATCAGCCTATTAATTAAGGTGTACATCCGTTGAAAAAAATTAATAAAATTTTAAACGAAATGACCAAATTGAAGCTAAACTTAAAGTGTATGGACTAAATTATTTAAATTAAAATAATAGAAATTAAAGTAAAATTTAGGACACACTATTAAGATGAAAAATGTAACTTGCCCAAAATAATTTGAGCAGTTTACAAGTTTGTTGTCCTGTTATGCGTTTCACTTTTCTTAGTCATTGTGTATTTGTTTTTGAGTCAATTCCATCTAATTCCACTTGTATTAATTTTACTTGGATTGGTTTTTTAGCTATTTTTGAAAAGGTTTGTTTTGAGACATTATAATAAAAAGACCTCAATCCATGAATAATCTGAAAAAGGTGTCTACCGGTTTGTTTTATGTTTTTTAAAAGTACCCACTTTATTATTATTATTTTTTTTTTTGGAAGGTTCACATTGAAAAGAAGTTACATAAATTTTGAAATTATCCAATCTATTCATTTAAAAAGAGTTTCTTTGAAAATGGCCTCCATCAATTTAGAATATGTTTTACAAGTTTATTTTCAATTTTCACTTTTTTTTTTTTTTTATTGACATGATCTTCAATTTGAATTTATAAATTATATTTATCTGATAGTTTGCAATTTTCATTTCTATTCATTTCGTAACCCTTGTAAAAGCTTTAAATAGTTCCCAAAATTTGTATTGTAAAACATTTAGATTTTTTTTTAAAAAAATCTCTAATTATGATTTCACTTTAAGCCTCGTCAAAGGAACCACTAGATCAAATGGCATGGTTGTTAACTTAGTTTAATTAACAGTGTCTCTTTGAAAGTTGAACTCAAATCAAGTAGCAAAGTGATATATTCACTCTCTTTCAAAGTGATAATGGGGTAGTTTGGGAACTTACCAAAATAATTTAAAAGTCAAAAAGTTACTAAAAAAATCAAAAAACCAATAAATACTAAAAAAATCAAATATTTCTTTCCATTTACTCTACTTTGTGCATATCTTTTCGTAAAAAATAAAAAATCATCCTAAACATATGTGCTTTTTTATCTCATGTTTTAGCAAAAAAATCAAAACGTCACTAAAAAACTTGTTCCGCAGTGGCCCCCTAAATGTTGGCGTCTAATTTGAAATGATTTTATTCCTTTCTGAATCGATTGTTTTATCATTATTTTGTGTCTAATTTATTAACAGGTATTATCAATTGGATGAAATTTACACAATGTAAAAATTTAAAGGGAAAAATGTATACAATTGAAACAATTTGAATAAAATTTACACAATTAAAATATTGTAGGGATCACAAATATAATTTATATTTTTTTCTATATTTCATTTTGGGTCCTTGAATCTGTTCTTTGCTCACATGGATTTGGTTTATGTCACATTATATAAACAGATGTAATTTAATAATATAATTATTGATATTCAATCATTTTAATTTTTAACATAGATATTCTGCTCAACAAATTGGTTGAGAGAGGATAGCATGATCCAATGAATTTTCGGCATACCTGCGATATATGGAATGAAAAAACCAAAAAAAAAATAAATAAATAAAATTGGTACAATTTATTTGTAATTGTGTGGCAATGGTGGAGTGAAGATATAATTGAGAAATGTAGTTAAATTGGCAAAATTAACCTTCTCAATTAGTGTTTAAACAAAGGTGAATTGGCGGTTAAGATTCTATCAAATTTTAAATTGTAAAGTTTAAGAAAAAAAAAATGAGTTTAATTTGTTGTAAGTATTAAACCTCTGAGCCAGTGAAGCCAATCTTGAAGAAAGTTCAGAGCAAAGAAACCAAGTCTGTAGAGACTATGCCAGTGAAGAAGAGAGTTTCTTTTGCTTCCGTGTTAGAGACATTTTGCAACCTCTCAAAAGATGCATGGAAAGGAGGGATGCAATCTCGAGTCGCAAAGTGAGCGTTGCAATGCACTCCAATAAGGGGGTGCGAGCACTATGCACGGAGTTGCATAGTGATACCTTGTACAGACCGATGGAAGTTGTCTTGGCAGAAGGGCTAACTGTCAAACATCAGTACGGACGTACAAGTGAGACTGAACCGAACATCAGGGATTGCAGCACAGACAACGGGCGTATGAGATCGCTGGGAAGTTGTTCTGAAGTGCAGAATGCAAAGGCTGGTTGTTCAGAAATAAGCTCCGAGCAAGGAAAATTGAGGATATTGATGTGTCACACTCTGAAGTTTTCTAGTTGCTCCCGTGTTCATCATGCAAGGAGTTGCACGGTAATGCAAGGGTATCCCGAGCAGGGGGTGCAGGACATCCAATCAGGGGGTGTCAAGATATCTTGGTTGCGCAAGTTCAAGCATAGCAAGTGAAGATATCCGAGACAGGAAGCGTGGAAGAGATTTGTGGGAGATAGGAGCAGAGGCTCTCTCCAAATCAGAGAGTGGTGTGAGTTGAGTTGAGGATGTAGGATTCCCTCCTCCTCTTGTATCTCTGGTGTATTATCTCTAGCTTTCAGGGGATGCAATGTCTCAGTGAGGAGATGAAGATTCTGTTGGTCTTTTGGGCGTGACAAGATTAGCAGCAGTGTGTGGACTGGATCACCTCACATGAGTTGAGGGGGTGATTTGTTGGATCATCCCATGTGAGCTCCCATTGGAGAACCCACTTTCTCCACCCAATGGAAGTGGCTCTCCCACTCTACCAACCCCACTAGAGAGTGGAAGAGGGTAGGTGGTGACCAATGAGGCTCTCCCTCATTAGTGTATAAATAGAGGTTGAGGGGAGAGTTGAAATCATCAGAAATTAGAGAGTGAGAGCTGTGAGTTGAGTGAGTTTCATCTCCTCCTCTGTAATTGTATTTTTGCTCCATTTTAGTGATAATTCTCATTTCTGTCCGTGGATGTAGGCATTGAGGCCGAACCACGTAAATATTGTGTTCTCTGTGTGTGTGAGATAATTCTCTGGGTGTCTTTGATCCTAACAGAATGTGCTTCCTTGAAAGAAAATGTGAATCGCGAAGATCACGAACACCCTCTCACTCAGTACTATTTTCGTTTCCAAGTCCATATGATAGCGAGGATATTAACTTTGAGTGCGATGTTTGTCATCACAATGTTTCGAAGGACTGTTGGTTTTATTGCTGTGTAGATTGTGATTATCGAACTCATGTGAAGTGTGTATTGGCTAAGGAACGATCGAAACAAGAAGTGGAACTTGAAAGATTCATTGAGACTCAACAAGAACTGTCGAAACTTCAATTTCAAATGCAAATTAACAGAGTAACGGCACAACTTATATCCTCATCAATCAATGCCGCCAGGCTTCGCTAGAAGCTTTGCTCATTTTCATATTGGGAAATGGTGATCAAAAGCATAGTCACCCATGGGAGCCTAATGTTCTGCTTCCTGCAATATAAATTCTTACAAGTTAAGTCTAGTTAAGGTAATCATTTCCTTTAAATTGAAGGTTAATCAGCCTATTAATTAAGGTGTACATACGTTGAAAAAAATTAATAAAATTTTAAACGAAATAACCAAATTGAAGCTAAACTTAAAGTGTATGGACTAAATTATTTAAATTAAAATAATAGAGATTAAAGTTAAATTTAGGGCACACTATTAAGATGAAAAATGTAACTTGCACAAAATAATTTGAGCAGTTTACAAGTTTGCTGTCCTGTTATGCGTTTCACTTTTCTTAGTCATTATGTATTTGTTTTTGAGTCAATTCCATCTAATTCCACTTGTATTAATTTTACGTGAATTGATTTTTTAGCTATTTTTGAAAAGGTTTGTTTTGAGACATTATAATAAAAAGACCTCAATCCATAAATAATCTGAAAAAGGTGTCTACTGGTTTGTTTTATGTTTTTTAAAAGTACCCACTTTATTATTATTATTATTTTTTTTTGGAAGGTTCACATTGAAAAGAAGTTACATAAATTTTGAAATTATCCAATCTATTCATTTAAAAAGAGTTTCTTTGAAAATGGCCTCCAGCAATTTAGAATATGTTTTACAAGTTTATTTTCAATTTTCACTTTTTTTTTTTTTTTTTTATTGACATGATCTTCACTTTGAATTTATAAATTATATTTATCTGATAGTTTGCACTTTTCATTTCTATTCATTTCGTAACCCTTGTAAAAGCTTTAAATAGTTCCCAAAATTTGTATTGTAAAACATTTAAATTTTTTTAAAAAAAAAATCTCTAATTAGGATTTCACTTTAAGCCTCGTCGAAGGTTGGGCCGGCTTTGCCTTATCTGATAAAGGATGCTACACAACCACTAGATCAAATGGCATGGTTGTTAACTTAGTTTAATTAACAATGTCTCTTTGAAAATTGAACTCAAATCAAGTAGCAAAGTAATATATTCACTCTCTTTCAAAGTGATTATGGGGTAGTTTGGGAACTTACCAAAATAATTTAAAAGTAAAAAAGTTACTAAAAAAATCAAAAAATCAACAAATACTAAAAAAGTCAAATATTTCTTTCCATTTACTCTACTTTGTGCATATCTTTTCGTAAAAAATAAAAAATCATCCTAAACATATGTGCTTTTTTATCTCATGTTTTAGCAAAAAATCAAAACGTCACTAAAAAACTTGTTCTGAAGTGGCCCCCAAAATGTTGGCGTCTAATTTGAAATGATTTTATTCCTTTCTGAATCGATTATTTTATCATTATTTTGTGTCAAATTTATTGACAGGTGTTATCAATTGGATGAAATTTACACAATGTAAGAAATTAGAGGGGAAAATGTATACAATTGAAACAATTTGAATAAAATTTACACAATTAAAATATTGTAGGGATCACAAATATAATTTATATTTTTTTCTATATTTCATTTTGGGTCCTTGAATCTGTTCTTTGCTCACATGGATTTGGTTTATGTCACATTATATAAACAAATGTAATTTAATAATATAATTATTGATATTCAATCATTTTAATTTTTAACATAGATATTCTGCTCAACAAATTGGTTGAGAGAGGCTAGCATGATCCAATGAATTTTCGGCATACCTGCCATATATGGAATGGAAAAACCAAAAAAAAAAAAATTGGTACAATTTATTTGTAATTGTGTGGCAATGGTGGAGTGAAGATAATGGGAAGGGAGAAGATAATTGAGAAATGTAGTTAAATTGACAAAATTAACCTTCTCAATTAGTGTTTAAACAAAAGTGAATTGCCGGTTAAGATTCTATCAAATTTTAAATTGTAAAGTTTAAAAAAAAAAAAAATGAGTTTAATTTGTTGTAAGAAATAAAAATTAGGGTATATATATATATATATATATTAT